GGAGATCATTGTATGATGGAGGTCTGATGAGGCCGCCATAGAAGTGTGGAGGTCAGGGAGGTCACCCACCAATCCAGAGGAGGTCCCACTATCCGTCCCCAATGCTGGCGCCCCTGGTCTCCTAAATCCTGGGGTCATGGGAGGTGCTATTGGGGTCATGGGAGGTGCTAGAGGGGTCATGGGAGGTGCTATTGGGGTCATGGGAGGTGCTATTGGGGTCATGGGAGGTGCTAGTGGGGTCATGGGAGGTGCTAGTGGGGTCATGGGAGGTGCTAGTGGGGTCATGGGAGGTGCTAGAGGGGTCATGGGAGGTGCTAGAGGGGTCATGGGAGGTGCTAGAGGGGTCATGGGAGGTGCTAGTGGGGTCATGGGAGGTGCTAGTGGGGTCATGGGAGGTGCTAGTGGGGTCATGGGAGGTGCTAGTGGGGTCGTGGGAGGTGCTAGTGGGGTCATGGGAGGTGCTAGAGGGGTCGTGGGAGGTGCTATAGGGGTCGTGGGAGGAGCTAGTGGGGTCGTGGGAGGTGCTAGTGGGGTCATGGGAGGTGCTAGAGGGGTCATGGGAGGTGCTAGAGGGGTCATGGGAGGTGCTAGAGGGGTCATGGGAGGTGCTAGTGGGGTCATGGGAGGTGCTAGTGGGGTCATGGGAGGTGCTAGTGGGGTCATGGGAGGTGCTAGTGGGGTCATGGGAGGTGCTAGTGGGGTCATGGGAGGTGCTAGTGGGGTCATGGGAGGTGCTAGAGGGGTCATGGGAGGTGCTAGTGGGGTCATGGGAGGTGCTAGTAACATGCGCTGTCATTGGCTCTCCTCCGGACCTTCCACTCTGATGTATGTTCTATGTGGATGTCACCATTGTATGTAAACCAACAACTCATCCTACATGTGTGGTGTGCTAGGAGAAAATACTCCACGTATGTACGGGGCTCTGGCCACTTAGACCCCGTTCACATTGAGCGATTTATCGCGCTCCAATGCAATCCAATGGGGCAAAGGGTCGCGGGTCGTGTGTCGCTACAGCAGGACCCTTTTTGGAGCGTATTTAGCCGCTATTCTCGCTTTCTCAATGCAAGCTTGAACGCCACATCGCGCGGCAAATCTCGCGATGTCGCGCAATATGCAAATCGCGCGACAAACGCGCGATTTGCATATCGCACAGTGGGAACGGGGCCTTAAGGGAAATTAAGCAACTTTTCAGCTAATAACTATGGAGGGGGGGGCCCGGTGAAGGGGGGGGGCCCGGGAAGTGTATAGCGCAGACATGAGACGCGGCGTATGAAAGGAGTACCGGGATGGCTTTACTGAGCACCCCGCTGTCCCATTCAGGCCCATCCAGAGGGGGCCGCCGGCGACTTTGATGTGTGTGAGCCGCAGAGAAAAGTAGGGACTAATCCTGGAAGTCCATCGGGGGAGGGGCCGGCCTGACATTAACCTCTTCCCCGCTGATACAACACACACCGCCATTCACAGCTTAACCTCTGACCCCGCCGCGGGCCGATGGCTAATTGTGAGCGACACCCCCTGCCGGGGGGACAACTTAATACCTCAGATGATGGCGGCAAAAACAGCGCCGACTCCCGTACAGTGTATATAATGGAGGGGAGTATATACAGACAGGTCACCAGCAGTGACATCACCGCCCTCCAGATATATGATACAGGGGTGACATCACCACCCTCCAGATATATTATACAGCAGTGACATCACCGCCCTCCAGATATATGATACAGCAGTGACATCACCGCCCTCCAGATATATGATACAGCAGTGACATCACCGCCCTCCAGATATATGATACAGGAGTGACATCACCACCCTCCAGATATATATGATACAGGGGTGACATCACCGCCCCCCAGATATATATTATACAGGGGTGACATCACCGCACCTGCCGGCATCAGACTGATCACTGGGGGGAGTGGAGACTGAGGAAATCCTGCAGCAGACTGATGACATCATCTCAGCCTAGGACGGCCTCTGATTTGGGTTGATAGGAGGTGGGGTATATGAGAACAATGGTCCTGATGAGGAATGATGAGGACTTGTAGTTACTGTCGGGTCCTCCTAGGAGGAGTTTGGACTGTAAGTGTCTTCAGGCGATCCCTCAGAGATGACACTATAGGGATCCTGAGGGCTGCCGTGTGCTCCTCTGAGTCTAGTTTCACTTGTTTGCTATTGGTTCTGACTGCCTGACATTGGTGCTCCGCCCACCACACACCCCCGACGCTCCTCAGTGGCCACTCCCCCATGGTACACTGTGTACAGCGCGGTCTCCGTGCAGAAGACGTTTCTCGCAGGTTCCATCTTCGTGTCCCCTCAGTAGTCGGATTGTCAGCTCTTCAGGGAAGTTGTCACTATGACATCACATCCTGCTCGGCTCTGATCCCGG